AAACTTAATATACCCTCCATACTATGGTGGAGGGCATAAAAATACTTTTCCAAGGAGAGGTATTCTCTCTATAGGATTTTCAAGGTATTATTTGGTGAGAAGACGTTTTAAAGATTTTCTAAGAAGAAAAGACTTTAAGGAAGAATACCTTTCTCTATAAAGAGTGGACTTTTTAAGATTTCCCAAAAACAAACTTTCTTCAAGATTTTCTATAGGTAGAAGACCTTATGTCAAGAGTAGGGCTTTAAAAGACCTTCCTTACAAAAACCTTCTAAATCATCTGTATAGAGAGAAGAACTTTTATAAAAGAAAAACAAGATAATACCTTTTCGAAGTTTTCTATGAAGAGAGTACCTTTTAAGGTCTTCCATAGGGGAAATAGCCTTTAAAGAATTTCATTAAATAAGTGTTCTTTTTAAGAACATACATTTCAAGATAAGAAGATTCTTTAAGATACTTTTATGCAACACCTTTATAATGTCTTGTATATAGAGATAATCATTTCAAGGTCTACCGTTGGGAGATATCTCTTCCAGGTTATCTATGGAGAAAATACTTTTCGTAGTACTTCTATGGAGAGAAAAGCTTTTCAAGGCCCTCCAAAAACAGAATACATTTGAGAGGTTTACTAAGAATTAAGGGTTCTTCAAAGATGCCTTTTAGCTGTGTTCTACATGACAACCTTTTCGAAAACCTTTTATTGTCAGAAGTTTTTTGATTAACTTCTAAGGTTAGAACTATTAAAAGATATTTTATACACAGAAATCCTTTTAATAATCTTTTATAGACAGCAGGTCTTTTACGGGGGCTGTATACACATACGACCCTTTTGACAAAATAATTTTTAAAAGCCTTCCAAGGAGAGAAAATTGACATAAATCCAATTAAGGGTCTTCTTAGAGAGTATGCTTTTGAGGTAACATTTCAAACACAGAAGTTTTTAAATAGGTCTTCTGTGGAAAAAACTGTTAAAGAGACTACTAGAGCCAAAAACCTCTTTAAAGCCAATAAAAGGCAGAAGACCTTTGAAATATCATCTATAGACAGCAGGACTTCTAAGGTTCACCATAGACAGAAACCCATTTACTGTGGACAGAAGTTCTTCTTTTACAGACGAAATGCCGTTTAAGGATCTTAAATAAAAAATACCTTGTAAATCCCTTCTTTAGAGAGAAATTCCTTTATTTTCCCCCCACACAACCACTGTCCTCCATTTTGTCATATTTTTTTCTATTTGCCTTCGTCTATTGATATATCGTTGTAATCGCTTTTCTTTTATCAGACTGCATGTGTGCACACATATGTATGGATGTGTGTATGTGCGTCTCCACATCATGATTATCGTGTTCTTAAGTATGTTGCCTGGATTTATATGGTCTAAGCTAATTTTGGCATTAACCACATTGTCCAACCACTTAGAAGAGTCAACAGGCAATACCGGCTCAATAAAACAACAATTGTCGAAATAACAATAAAGGAAACAACAACAACAAAACAAACAATTCTCAACTCATTGTTTAGAGACACAGAGAGAAACATTTGTATCTATGTGCCATAGAGTCGTCAGTACAATGTCGCCGGCATTTAGATATCGATCTATTGCATTGTGGGTCTATGTGTTTTTCGTATCAATTGGAAGAAACATCCATTGGCTGCCTGCCGTACCGCATTCGAGGTGTGATTTATCACTGGGAAATTTGCCACAATTTTTCCATCTCTTGTTTATTTTTTCTTTGAATTTCTCGAAAAGAAGGTGTTAACAATAAATATTTACTTTGGTGGTCGGTCGGTCGGTCGATGATTTTAAATTAAAAATAAACAGAATATTGTTTTTTTGTGTGTGTGTGTGTGTGTTTATGTGTTAATCAATAATTATGTTGTTTTGAGCATGAAAATGCTACATATGTTTATGTTAAAAAATCATGTTCGACTTAATAACAAAGAAAAACGGCGTTGAGTTCGAGCGAACCGAAGTATTTACACTTTTGACCAAGGGATAATATAAAATGCGTCCACGAAAAGTCCAGACACGTTTTAACAGTTAAAATATCGTATTAGGTCTTTTGAGTACTCAAAATTCAGATTTTTTCAGTTTGACAAAAAAATTTAATCAAAACTTCATATATCGTATTAAATTTTCAGACTTTCTAGGTTTTACTTATCATTCAGGTTGTTCATTATTCGGAAAGATTAATAGAAAAATGTTTAACTTTAACACCATAAAATCTTCAAAATATTTAATTTTGAGGTTTACCGATGAGGATATTAGTAAAACAATTTCACAATGGATCCACATCCATTTTTTCCAAAACTATTTCAACGTCTTCATATGTAAATGCTAAAAACCAACAGTGACCATAATATAAAATTTCAGAATTTTAGCTCTATCCCTTTACCCAACACCAATTTTAGTAACATTCAGAACGCATATTCAAAGCAATCTTCATATATCCCAGACGCAAACATTGATCGAAAACTAGTATTACTTAGTAGTTTTCGAACAATTATAGTACGTATTTGCAACCAGATATCAACAGAGATCGCAATATTAAATTTCGGGATTCCAACTCTATCCATTCCCCCTATACTCAATTTAGTACCACTAAGTACTTTTCGAACAATTATAGACACATTTTCAAAACCATCTCCATATTTCAATTCCAGTTATCAACAGAGACCTCAATATCAAATTTTAGAATTCCAGCCTTACCCCTCACCAAATACCAAATTTAGTAGTTTTTGTATAAATATAGGACTGATTTCCGAAACCACCGCCGAATCTCAACCTCAGATACCAACATTTATCTGAATTTATAATTTCAGAATTTTATCTCTACCCCTTTATCCAAAACCAAATTTAGTACCATTTAGAACTTTTCATGTAATTATAGTACGTATTTCCAAATCCATTTCTATATCTTAGTTCCTAATTTCAACAATCACCTTAATTTGAAATTTCAGATCTATCCCTCGCCCAATACCAATTTTTTTTAACCTTTAGTACTTTTTGAACAATTATAGTATGCATTTGCAAAATCATCACCAGATACCAACAGAGACCTCAATATAAAATTCCGGGATTCATCCATAGTACTTTTCGTATAATTTTAGTACTCCTTCATTCCCAATCTCAATCAAAATGTTTCCTATCTCAATACTAAACACCAACAGTTCTCGCATAATAACATTTCACGGTTTCAGCTGTATCCTTAACCCATTACCAAATTTAGTACCATTTAGTACTTTTCATAGAAAATTTAGTACTATGTAGTACTTTTCAACACACTTCCAAAACCACCTCATAATGTCAAGGCTAGACATGAACAGCGACCCTAATACATGATTTCGAAATGCAAGCACTATCTTTTCACCCAATACCAAATTGTACCAAATATAGTACAATTTAGTACTTTTCGTACATTTGTAGTACATTTTTCCGAAACCACCTGTATATCACAAACCTTCAACCAACAGGGACCCCAATACAACATTTCAAAATTTCAGCTTCATTCATTTACCCTAAACCAAATTGTTCCAAATGTAGTACTATTTAGTACAGTTTGCACACTTAGCACATATTTCCCAGACCACCTTCATATATCAAACTTCCTTTTAAACCTTGAGTCTCATACCAAATTTGAAGTTTTTAACTCTATCCGTTCACATAATACCAAATGGTACCATTTCAGAAGTTTAGTACAATTTTAGAATTTTTTTGTAACCTTAAAGTTCGAATTTCCAAAAACTCTATTCTGCACTTCATCTGTGACTCTCGATTCGGAATTTGGTTCGAATTTCCAAAAACCCTTCCCTTCAGTCCATCAGTGACTCTCATTTTGGAATTCTAGCTCATTCTGTTTGTCGAATACAAATTATTAAATGTTTAGTGCATTTTAGTACTTTTCGTACCCTTTTAGTACGTACTTCAAAAAACCCAGTTTTATCCCACGCCTACGCACCAAGACTTATCCTCGTGCAATTTTAAGATTCGAGCAGGGGAAAAAAATCGAGAATACTCTATTTCGCAATGCTTAAACTATATCCTGCACTCCATCAGTAACTCTCATTTCAGAATTCCAGCATTTTAAGTACATTTGAGTACTTTTCGTACCCTTTTAGTACGAATTTCCAAAAGCCCAGTTTTACCCAACGCTTACGCACCAAGACTTATCCTCGTTCAAAATGTTAAGATTCGAGCTAGGTTAAAACGTGGTATACTCTGTTTCTCTACGCCCTCATATTCGAGGTAGAGTAAAATTGGCTCGAAATCGAACGGATTACACTCTTGATGAGCACTCTTTTAGTATTTGTCATACCGTTAGTTTGTTTGTAAGTACGTGCAGTATCTCAACAAACAGCTGAAGCAGTTCGACAAGAAGTTTACACTCCTTTGTTGTTGTTGTGGAGCACTCGCAAGTACTCCTCTTTGGCAAATAAGAGTGGAAGCTCGAAGTTGAGTAAGAGTTTACTCTTATTCGAATGAACAATATAATTTTTGCTAATTGGTGTGTTCATTTGAGTGTAGTAGTGGACATACTCGGTTTTGAGTGAATTTTACTCCCATTCGAAAACCGAACAAAGAATACTCGCTCTCATACAAGTGACAGAGAAATAGAATGTGGTTAATGTCTTTTTTTTCTACTCCCAGATGTACTCCCGCTAAAATTTGAATATAGAGTAAAAATTGACAGAGAATTTGTAATACCCATTTTATAAAATAATATCCATCCATGGGTAATTTAGGTTTAAATTATTTCGTAAATTCAAGCCGAGAATGGCAAATAAAGGGATTCTCTCCAGTTGAGAAAAAAAGTTTGCGGTTAAAGCCTCTTGAGAGCATATTTCTTACTACAAAACAATTCCACCCCCTCCATTTCCCATCTCAAATCAATCCATCTATAATTGTTAAATAAATATAATTGAAATGTTCCATAAACACAAACAATGTTTTATTTATTTATTTATATTTCCTTCTTCTTCTTCAATGGGTTTCTTTGCAGTTTTCGACGAGTGGATTATGTGGTGGCGGCCAATAACAAAAACCACAACAATAACAATAACAACAACAACAAAATTATAAGCAGTTACGATTTATTTGCCATTGACAGACGACGAACGACGTTTAGTGCGGAATTCTGTCTTTTGGCCCAAAACAGCCGGTAAAATCGAGTGCCCTCGGAGACACCATCAAGAAGAAAAAAAGAGCAAGAAAAAATAACAACAATTCCATACGAATAATCATTATGAATTGGTTATGTTTTGGCATATTAACGGCTCTGCTATGCCTCAGCCAAGTGGCGTCACTGTCTTTGGATCCAGGTAAGTCAAAGACCGCGAAACAAATGAAGAAACCCAGCACGACACGAGCTCCATGTAAGCCAGGGTACTTGAGAATATCAACACGGCGCACCGCAAAAAAAAGTGAAAACAACACTTCGAACTCATTCTGGCACCAAAAGTCCCACATCTGTCTGACGACTGGATGGAGTGCGTCCGTGTGTGTGTTTGTGTGAAAAATATTGCTTAACTTATTATTGGAGTACAATTCGATTACATGAAAGATAACAGTGCCATTTAAATATTTATTTCCTTTGTTTTAAGGTTTCGGCGTTGTTGTTGAAAGATCAACAAATTTAACCTCTCCCTTTTTAACATTTTTTTGTTTTTTTTATTTTAGTGGCCTCAGCCGAACTGGAGCAGCACATCAAAAAGGGTGACTGTGTTATATCCATGCGTCACATAAGGTTTGTAATCCTTTTTTTTTTTTTGTTTTTCAAAATAACAGCATTTATTCGCAATTTATTTGCCAAACAAGACTCAAGGGACAGGTTCTAGAGGTCACATTAAATGGGTGGAGTTTTCGCCACTTAACACTCAATTATGAGCTTTTCGAATTGGTTTGTGAAAATATGACCAGAATTCCATAAGTGGAATAAAATAAAACTTTTCCCTGAGTATTTCGACGGTATTCCATAAATTTATTATTTCCCTTTCTCCCCATAGGCCACGACGCAAACTACATATCCCCATTGAGGCCCTGTTCATGATCGATTTTCCCACGCTCAAACATAAAATGTCATTTTTCTTGGATCGAAAACAGCAACGTGTAACTCTAGACATTAGCGCTGGCGGTTCCATGGATTCATTGCATTTCGAAATCCCTCAGATAAATGAGACCAGCACCATTCGTTCGTTGGCCCTGCATTTTCATAAGAATCGTATCGCACTGCTGGTCGATTGCAAAGAGACTTCGGCTCACGATATCGAAATGAATCTCACGAAGTTATATACTCAAATGGATGACCCGATGGTGAAATTGGTAAGTTGGTGTTAATATTTTGTTTTTCATTAAGGGTATACACTCTATAGAACCCTCCCTCTTATTTAAGAGAGGTGATTTGAGGACTACTTATGAGACATTCTCCTAGATAATGTCTGAGAGGTCATTTTAAAACTATTACTTTTTCTGTCAATATTACTCATTTCCTATTATTTGAGGACCTTCAAGATATATTGGCTAAGAAAGTACATTTAACTGGTCCTTTATAGGTAGAGGACTTTTGAAAAGCCTTCGCTCTATAAAAGAAGTTTAATAATCTTCCTGTGTTTAGAATATTATTTAAAAGGTTCTCTGAAGATTTTCTGTAAATTAACGACTATCTTATATCTATAGGGATTCTTCGAAAGGACTTTTGTTCAAGAAGACCTTTTGAAAGACCTTCCGTTTTTCGGAAATCTTCTTTTAAAAATGTTCCAGTATATGGACCGCTTTTAAAGATACTTTGCTTATTTAACCCCTTCTTCTCCTTTAAAGGGTGTATTGTCTTTAGGAGACCTCTTAGGAGAATGCCATCTAAAAAAAGTTTTTAATGGTATTGTGGCTATAGAATAATTTGAAGAGGCCTTCAGACGTTATTCTGTTTATAAATGACTGTTTAAGAATCTCAAAAAGTTGTTGGCCTGTAGAAGACCATTTCCGGTACCTTAAAGGTTTTTTAAGAATATTCCCTTTTTTAGGGCCCTCAAGGAAAATTTCCTATTTTAGGACTCTCAGGGAAGACCTTTTGGAGGTCTTGAGTTTAAAGTAGACCTTTAAAGGCCTTCTATCTGCAAAAAGTTTTGTGGCTATAGAATAATTTGTAGAGGCCTTCGGACGTTATTCTGTTTATAAATGACTGTTTAAGAATCTCAAGGATTGTCGGCCTGTAGAAGACCATTTCCGGTACCTTAAAGACCTTTTAGGAATATTCCCTTTTTTAGGACTCTCAACGAAAATTTTCTATTTTTGGACTCTCAGGGAAGACCTTTCGGAGATCTTGAGTTTAAAGGGCCTTCTGTCTGTAAAAGGCTTTGTGGCTAGAGAATACTTTGAAGGCTAGATAATACTTCGAAGAAGGTATTCTGTCTGTTTAAGGATCTTCTAGCTTATAAGGATCTTCTATTTGGAGGGTATATTAGCTTTATCATTCCGTTTCTAACTTCTCGAAATCTTGCTGATAGACCCTTCAAGGTATATATATTCTGTATCAGGACGATTTAGTGATGTCCGTCTGTCTATCTGTCCGTCTGTCGTAATCACGCAACCTTTCGAAAGAATTGAGATAGAAGGCAAACATTTTGCATACATGCATAGTTTATCAGTAGGCAGGTTAAGTTCGTAAATGTCGGTCCCCGTTTTCGTATAGCCCCCATATAACTGTACCTCCTGATATTCAGTATTTTCATGACTGTAGCGACATTATTTACCGGAATTATTTCAAATTTCGTATTTTAAGTTCGTAATGGGTACTACAGCCTATGACAGGAGTTTTTGTATGCAGGTCCACCTCTTCGTATAGCCCCCATATGACGATACCTTCTGTCATAGGGTACTACAGCCTATGACAGGAGTTTTTGTATGCGGGTCCACCTCTTCCTATAGCCCCCATATGACGATACCTTCCGATATTCTGTATTTTGATGATTTCAAAACATTATTCACCGGAATCGTATCAAATTTCTCTCAAATCTCGTTTAAGAACCCCTTAAAAAGTCATTCCGCCCTGTAAATGCATTCAGAACTGTCAGTTTAGAGAACATCTGCCTTTGGACCTTTCAAAAGATTCTATTAAAAAAATATAAGTAGGGGTATTTGTAGAAATCATTTCGTGGGTCATTTTCTTTAGAGGGTCTCCTATCGGTAGAAATCCTTGTAAAGGAGTTTTGTCTATAGAACATCTTTTGAGGCATTCTCAGATTTCACTTGGGAGTGAAACTTTCATGCGAGCAGGATTGTTCCAAGAGTGGGAGTATTTTTACGGAGTCTACCTTTTTGTTTTGTGTGGCAGAGCTCGCGAGTCAATCCTGTTTGAAATGTTCGAGTGGGGAAGGGGGCGGGGGGTGTGATCGTGTACAAAAAAATACGCATGCATAGAAATACAACAACGGCATTAAAAAAATCTAAGAGAGTGCCCGGCAATAGTAAAATCTGCTCGTTTTTGGATTAATTTTGCTCCCAATCCAAAATGAACAAATCATGCTCGTCCTTCGAGCAAAACCGAAAAATACTTCCAGGAGGTCTGACTAGATGGTCTTTGGAGATCTTCTGTTTCAAGAAGACCATTGAACATTTTCTTTTAGAGAACCCCTTAAAATGTATTCTGAGTAAAAATATATTTTAGAATTGTTCATAATTTTTATGGACATATAAAAAATCCTATTAAATAACTTCTCCTCCATTTCTGAACCTTTCTGTTAATTTTTGTTTTTTTATTTCTCCCTGTTTTTAGTTCCGCGAACGTAAATATCCTTTGCATTTTGATGGCAATGTGGATGGAGCTTTACAACGTGCAAATTGTCAAAAGGGTATGACCCGACGTGGAAATCGTCGCATGTTGAAGAATAAAATTTCGGAAAGAGGTAAGGCCGATAGTTGTAGCGTTTTCTATATAATTGGTTGATTATAATTTTGAATTTTAGTAAAATGTTTGAAAATAAAGAACTAAAAAAAGTAATTCATAATTGAATTAATATATTAACCCCATTATCGACAAGACTATTAAAACTTTGAATTGTTTTCTCTTTTTCTTCCCTTTTTCCAGAGAAGAACAAGAAACGTGATGTTCGCAATTGGTACAATCAAGAGCCGGGCACCAGTGTAGACCATTATCGCCAGCAGGAGATTCCCTTGGACATGGATCGTCGCGGTGATATTCCCATAATGAGCGGTGATTGTGAAGGTATGTAACTTGTAGCCATTAAAAAAAAGCACATCAACCCTTCCCATTTTTACACAAAAATAAAACCTAATCAAGGCGATTCAAAAACCCGTGGTGACATATTTTTTTCTTCGTCGTCGTTCTCAAAATACCTCATAAAACGCACGAATATATGGCCATCTGAGAAAAAAAAGAAATAAGTGAGGTGCACAGAAAAAGGACAGACACCAAATGGCAATGTCACCAAACGACGATGAAGCCAAGTGGTGTGTCGGCCGGAGTGAGTTTGTTCGTGCGTGCGTGTGATGTATGGCTTAAATGGAAATGAATCAGCTTAAAATGTACTTAAAGATTAGCTTTGCAATCAGCAGCAGCAGCAACAAAAACAACAACAACACCACAAACGACAACAAACATCAGCATCACATCAACATTATCATCATCATCACCGTTGAGCTTTGAGCGCCGTCATCTGTGGCGCAGCCATATCCACGACCACACGGCAATAACCATATCCATAACAGCCACTAAACAATAATCAGCAATAACGAGTGCTGCAAAACCAATCCCCAGCAAAAAAAAAAAAAAAAAAAAAAAAACACCAAATCGTAGTGTGGCGTGGTAAATATTTTGTTTCAGGAGTGTAGAAAACGCGTTATTTGTTGAAGATTATTGTAAACATTAGCGGGGGTCGTAGAAAAGTATTTTCGGTTAAGAATGATAATCGGGAATTCTGGTGAATGGTCGTCAGGGACCACGATGATGACGTTCCGCTTGTAGACGATTTGCAGATTATCATAAACTTTGATAAATAGATGTCGGGTGTCCGAGAAATACGATAATATTCTTCGGGTTGTAACGATTGGGAGATAATGGGGAATTCTGGTGAACCTTCGTCGAAGATCATATGATGGGGTTACAGATGATCCGGGGAGTTGTAGACGATTTGCAGATAATCAGGAACTTTGATAAATAGATGCCGGGGGTCCGGGAATTAAGATAATAATCTTCGGGCTATAGCGATTGGACGATAATCGGAAATTCTGGTGAACATCCGTCGAGGATCACGTCCTCGAGTTACGGATGATCCCTGGATAATCGGAGATTCGGGTGAAAAGTTGTCGGGGACCACAATGATGACATTCGGGTTGTAGACGATTTGAAGATAATCGAGAACTATGATAAATAGTTTCCGATGTCCGGGGATGACGATGATGATCTTTGGATGTAGACGTGATGAAATGGTCTCTGTTCGAGTTATAGATGCCGCTATTCGGGTTATAGAAGATTTTGTTGTTCGTGTTGTAATCCGGAACTCTGATAAATGGCATTCCGCTCACAGATGTTCCACGATGATGATGCTCGGGTTGAAGATGGTGCAAGGGGTTATAATCGGGCGAAAAGCCTTCGGCTCAAAGGTGTTCAGGTCGTGTACGAGGAGTAGATGATAGCTAACTCGTATCGGTGCTCGATGGTTAGTTAGTCAGGATATGCTATTGTTTACGACTACCTCTATGTTACTACTCTTGATTTCGGTTGAGACAGCGAGCACGAAGCTTCTGTTGGGTATAGCGAGTTCGAAGCCAAAAAAATATGTTCCCAGCTATCAGTTCCTCTTAGTCAGAGGACAGTAAATGATTTTCCATTATGATTCGGAGTTAATAATGGAAAATCATCTTTGGAAAATCAAATTGAAAAAAACCATTAACAAATGTGGCTTAAATTGTCCAAATATGAAATATCCGGAGGCTCTGTCGAACCCTTGTTTGTACGAAACCATGGACCAATAATATACAAAATCGTGGATCGACATGGCCCATTTTCAAAGAAACCAGTAAAAAGCAGCAAAACCCTCTAACATTTAGAAGAAACTTGTTAAATTAAAAAAAAAAATCCCTTGCAAATTCGGCTAAAATTAAAAAAAAAATCCGTCCGAATACCTGGTGTTACAGTTGTATGAGGCTATACGAAAAGGTGAAACTCTACACCCAATTAAATGGGAAGGTGGTGCCAAAAATTGAGATAATTCTGTGGAAAATAGAATAGCAGAATTCATCAAATTAACGAATATTAGGAGCTACCGTTATATGGGGGCTATTCTAAGTCGTGAAAATTTTCTATCAAAGGAGGTAGTTTCCATTACGAACTTTAAATACCAAATTTGAAAGAATTCTGGTGAAAATGTGGGCTGAGGACATGCAAATACAACAACGGTATGAGAAAATTAAAAGATTATTTGGCAAGAGAATCTGCTCGTTTTGGAGCGAATTGGACCACCATTCTAAAACTTGCAAATGAAGCTCCCTCTTATTTGAGCGTAATCGAAAAATAGATTATACTCCATTTTTTTTCTTCTACAGACAGGAGTGCTCCAGCTCTCTCGTTCGAGAATTTCGTAGGTCTGTTTTCCTGTGGGGTCTAAAATGCAAATTTTAAGAAATTACAAAGAAAATGAAAAGTTTAGTATATCCTTCATGGTATGACATAGGATTTAAAAATTGCGATCTTTAGCATATTTGATAAAGTCCCTAAACATAGAATTTCCATATTTTAAAGGTTTCATAGACAGTTTTCAATCACGTTGGCGGTAGTTTGATTCTCGTTGGAAACTTTTAAATAAAATGTCCTAACCTAACATTTTCCACTCGAGGTGGCTGTAATTTGATAGGAAGAACACGTGAAGGTCCAAAGCACATCGTCCAAGTGATGACCAGCAATTTGCTATTTTTTTGTTTCATTATAAACGGAGAAATAGTTTTTGGGATTTTAAATTCAACCAAATTGTCTGCAATATATGTTTTCCCATGGCGAAGGGTATGGAATTTTCTCTACAACACTTGTGATTGTTTGATTTATATTCGGGGATCCACCTTAATATACAAGACTACAAAACTATGTAATACATGACCCTAATCTTAACAGATTATTTCTTACACTTTTACTCTCATTCCTACTTGAAATGCATACTCTCTTTTATCTATGACTGAGAACATCTCAAGTCGCTTATCTCTTTCAATTGTTTGCAAGGAAATTTGTTCTCCTAGTCTGGGGTTGTTTAAATAATGTTACACAGTGTTCATACATGTCTCCATTTGTGGGTAGATAGACAGGTAGGTAGCTTGCTACTTGCTACCAACAATAATAAACAAGGCTATTTACTATTGGTGACAGTATTTGTTGATTTGCAGTTGTTATTCCTCGCTTAGAATGCAACTCAAACTACTGCTCTGAGGGAACCATTTTTCATATGTCGTTGGTGTTGACGTTGTTCTTGTTGTTGCTGCTGCTGCTGATACTTTGTCAAATGTCAGCGAGGGATTGAATACAACATAATGGCGAGTTTTATTTTACCACACATAATCCCAGCCAATTCAAAACTCAGCCATTTGGTTGGATATTCAAGCAGATTTAACTTGCCTTTACTATTCCTAGTGGCAACACACATCTAAGTAGTATGTTCTCATGTACATATGTGTGTATATGCGCATGTTTTCCTTTTTTTAAAAAAATATTATTTTTTTTTATTTTGCTTTTCTTTTTGGTACAGACGCCCTCGCAAAATCCCTAAGCGATTTAATGGCTTTGGTAAAACTGCTACGTGAAGATATCGCCCACCAGCGCCAAGAAATTGCCTATCTGCGCATGCTGTTGGAGAATTGTGCCGGCTGCAAGGAAACCAAAGGTGACAATGATATACAGCCAACATGTCGTACCTCAAATCCTTGCTATCCAGGTGAGTAAATAATAAAAATGTAACCCCTTTAAATGAATGGTGACGTTTCTATGAAATTTATTGGAAAAGAATTGAGATATAAGATATAGGGAAATTTGTTGAAATTTATTGTGGACCAGAAATGGAGGGAATTGAGGGTAATAATTTCTAAAGAGTTTTGGTAGAGCAATTCTCTAATTAAATTTTATGCGAGAATTAAAAAAAATAAGTCATACCTCCTAGCGAGTTTCACTCTTCTCCAATTCGAACGGCGGCAATCCTAAGAGTGGAAAAATCATTTTCCGCTTGATTTTGCTCTTAGAGAAAACTATTATTCTATTTCGTGTACTTCGACTCCCACATTTATTTTTCAAACAGAAGTAATTCACATTTATACTGTAGAAATTTGAGTTTGAAATTTTCTCCGATATCATAGAGGAAAAATCTGTTATCGTAGTAAAAACTTTAACATTCCGGCAGTTCTGGAACAGACCACATGACAGCTACCATCAAAAAAAAAGCTAAGTTTGACCAAAAAAAGAAAAGAAGAAAAAAACAAGTAAAAAAGCAGCTAAGTTCCACCGGGCCGAACTTCTTATATCCTCCACCATTCGGAAAGAACTTGAAAATTTTCAAAAAAAGAAAATCCGTCAAAAATACCGCTCAAATGAAAACCTTTATATGGGATTCGAAGACGCGGTGCTGGATAAGTAATTTTTTGTGATAAGCTGTAGTAACGATTCTGAATTTCAAATACGAAATTTGACACAATTCCAGTGAATAATGTAGCTACTCTCATCAAAATACCGAATATAGGAAGGTACCGTTGTATGGGGGGCTATACTAAGACGTGGACCTGCATAGACAATTTTCCGTCATAGGTTGTAGTACCCACTGCGAACTTCAAATACGAAATTTGACGCAATTCCGTTGAATAATGTCACGAAAATTCTGGAAATACCTAATACCACGGGGTAGCGTTTTATGGGTGCTACACTAAAAGATGTGGTTAAAATCATCAAAATACCGAAAATTCGGGGGGCACCATTATATGGGGGCTGTACAATACCGTGGACCTATATATAAAATTCTCTTTCAGGGTGAAAATATTCACAGAGAACTCTTTTTGTAGAATTTCAGACGATGCCATTGAAAAATGTGACTAAAATCATCAAAACACCGATTTTCGGGAAGTGCAGTTAAATGGGGGATATACGGTATCGTGGACCTAATTATCTTTCAGGGGTAAAATATTCATAAAAAACTTCTTGTGTAGAATTTCAGACAATTCCATTGAAAAATGCGTCTAAAATCATCGAAATACCGAATGTCGGGAGGCACATAGGGTAAAGTACTCAGAAGGAATTCCTTGTGTGGATTTTCCGATTATTCCATTGAAAAATGTGGCTAAAATCTTCAAAATACCGCATATCGGCGGCATCATTGTATGGGGGCTATACGATATCGTGGATAAAAAAAAAAATCTCTTTCAGGAAGTAAAGTGCTCACAGAGAACGTCTTGTGTAGAATTTCAGACAATCCCATTGAAAAATGTGACTTAAATCATCAAAATACCCTATGCCCGGAGGTATAGTTACATGGGTGATATAGGATATCGTGGACCGATATATTCCATCTTCGAACTTGACCTGCCTGTAGACAAAAGACAGATCGGTGCAAAATTTTAGCTTCCTATCTTTATTCGTTTTCACTCTAACGTGATTACAATAAAGGGACGGACAGGGCTAAATCGTCTCAGAATTTTACGCTGATCAAGAATATATCGTTGGGTTTAAAATTATTATTTCGATGAGTTGCAAACAAATGATTAACTTAATATTCCCTCCATACTATGTATGGTGGAGGGTATACAAAGGGGAGAGTACACCTCTCGTAAAAGTCATGCCATTTCAGTACTCCAGCTCGCGAGTATTTTTCACTCGAGAGTAAAGTCAAGCAAACCTGAGCTCTGATAAAAAATACATATCTTTATAGAAAGAAAATCCCTCTCGATTCTACTCATTTCCTACCTCTAAAAAGGCGTCTCATTTAAGATTTAAGATATATAAACACTTCGGCTATCCAAGGGTTAACAATTGTCCCTTATTTGAAGCAAAAACATAAAATTACAATAATTTATTTATTTTCTTTTCAATTTCAAAATCACAGCCAAATTTCAGTTCTTACTCAATACCGTTCCAATTTCGGCATAATTTATTTATGTCTTTTCCATTTTCTTGTAAGATATCCAAAAATCGAAATTGGCCAAAACAACAAGATATTTATTAATAAATTGCTAGTGACATTTGGCTTTTTTATTTGGAAATAGTTTTAGTTCTTTTTAATTTTTAAAATTTCCAAATTTTATTGCCGGTCTACACCAGCATAGATGTTGTTGTGGTATTGTTCGTTGGTCACCGCGACTGCACAAGGTGATGATTTATGCTTAGATTAATTTCGTGGGGCCCATTCGGTGTGTGTCTGTGTGAGGTTGGAGATCATCATGCATAATTAAAAGAAGATTTATGATCTACACTCCCAAAATGGATCATTATCGGCGATTATCTTGAAATTCGGTTTTTTGAGGACAGGGAGATAAACCCTCCTTGGAACAGTTATAAAAAACGTATTTCCAATAAAATAACGAAAAAAAGAAAATATGACTAATCTCCGTGAAGAGATTAACAATTTCGACCAGAAATTGTAATTAAAGAAAATTGTAAAATGTATCTCTAAAAAAAAAAAATAATAAAATATGAAAAGAACAATAATATGACAGATATTAATGGCAAAAATTCGTTGTTATTGTCATGGTTAATGTTTTTTTTTTTTTTTTTGGGACAAAGCGGCAACTTAGTCCAAAACCTTTATAATTAGTTTATAATCTTTCATAATCTCAAAAGTTGTATGATCGCTTTTTCAAGTACAACCGAATACTTTTGTGGAATACTTGGGCCAAATTCAGAACCCAATTCATGTTATTTTATGAGGTAAATGATTTTCAAAATTTTTGTCTTACCATTTCCGTGGACCGGTTCATGGTGGCGTCCAGCTTCCGTCCTTAGACCACGCTTAGGTATAACCCCCTTAGCTATAATTTGAGAACAAATGAGCGGTAATTTCTCGTATCGTGTACACAGACAGGCAATCGTTACAAACTGAATGGCAGATTTAATATACCCTTCATTGTATGACGAAGGATATAAAAGGCCATGTTTAATCCACTATATGATAAAGCTAACATATTGGACTCCGTCTAATTTTTGTTCATTGAAGGTCATTACCTATCATTTTCCTTTCGAGGTGGATGAAATTTAATAGGATAAACAAGTGAGTGCCTCAGCTACATCGTCCAACTGAAGAGCTCCAATTTGGTTTTGTATACCCTCCACCATACATAGTATGGAGGTTATACTAAGTTCGTCATTCCGTTTGTAACACATCGAAATATAAATTTTAGACAAAGTATGTATATATATTCTTGATCAGCGTTTAGTTCTAAGACGTTTTTGCCCTTTCCGTCCGTCCGTCTATCCCTCTGACCTGTCTGTTGTAATCACACTAGAGTCAAAACGAATAAAGATACGAAGCTAAAATGTTGCACAAATCAGTCTTTTGTGTACAGACATATCAAGTTCGAAGGTGGGCTATATCGGTCCACGATATCGTATAGCCCCCATATAACCGTACCCCTCGATATTCGGTATTTTGATGATTGTAGCCAAATTGTTCAATGAAATTGTCTGAAAATCCATAAAAGGAGTTCCTTCTGAGTACTTTACCCCTGGAAGTGTATTGGCTATATAGGTCCACGATATCGTATAACCCACATACAACGGTACCGCCCTCCCCCATATTCTATATTTTAACGATTTTAGAGGCATTATTCACCGGAGTTGCTTCAAATATTGCATTTAGAATTCGTAAGGGTACTACAGCCTATGACAAAAAGTTACGTATGCAGACCCACGTCTTCGTAGAGCCTCCATATAACGCTACCTCCCAGTATTTTGATGACTTTCTCTACACTATTCACCGGAGTTGTTTGAAATTTCGTATTGAAGTTCCTAAAAGGTACTACAGCCTGTGACAGAAAATTGTTTATGCAGTTGCTGGTCTTCGTATAGCCCAGATGTAGCATTATTCACCGGATTTTTTTAAGCTTCGTATTTGAATATTGTAATGGCTTATAACAAGCAGGTCCACGTCTTTGTATATACCCCAATATAACGGCTATATTCGGTATTTTTAAGATTTAAACAGAATTTTTAACGGAACATTTAAGGGCGCTTAGTTCTTTTAAGAGTTTTCAATTTTTAGGCATTTTAGGTTGCAGCTCAAGTTTTCAACAAAAGAGGCCCAATAGGATACCCGAATTATTTTTCTATGCCACACAAATAAGAGCGAGAGATGTCTTACTTGTTTCCGAGTGGAAGTAAGATTAGCTCGAAATAATTTTTTTTAATAAAAAAAACTCAGACCTAAAAAGCCCATTAATATAAAAAGGGTCGAAAAACTCAGTTCTGAGACAATTAATTTTTGCTGCATATTTTTGATTAAATTAAATTCTGTTTATTTGTTCTTTTTTTCAGGTGTTGAATGCTATGACAATCTGTCAGGGCCTAGATGCGGTCGTTGCCCCTTGGGTATGGTGGGAGATGGTAAAATCTGCAAGCCCGGCGTTACCTGTGCCGATCGTCCCTGTTACATGTAAGTACATGCTTTTTTTTTCATTCCCACATTTTAGTTTTATTTTGATTATCAGATTTTAAAAGAATCATAGGATTCTTTCAAAAATTTTTGAATTAAAAATTTATGAACAAAAGAATGTTTGAGTGCCCCTAAGGCCAAAAGAAGCCGCCTAGGATCTCAGCCTTTGTATTTGTGGTTAGGAGTTGATTTAATGTCTTTGCGGGGGTTTCCTTTGAATGGAAGAACCTTTTAATGAATAACCATTGTTTTGGCCAATTCTAAATGGCCCATAAATTCTTTAAAAGTCAAAATATTAACAAAAAGAAAGAAACTGGCGGCTGGCGGCCATAAAAAGAAATCGAATCTTGAAGAGTTGCCCCCACAATGTTGTTTTAGATAATGAAAGGACCAACAGGTGATGCGCGGCGATTGTTTGCCTGACATGACATTTGGGCCTCTTTAGTGAAAAGGGTGTGCGATCGTGCGTGTGTGCGTGTGTGCGTTTGTTTTTATGGGAAATCATGTCCCATTGTTGTTTTCTTAAGTGTTTTGATAATTTAATGGTCATTGAGGCTAATAAAATGTCTTTCAAGACGCCTTTACAAATCTTAAATCAATTTCAAAAATTTTGATAAGCAGCCAGGGAACATCGTCTGACCTGTGGAGCGGAACCTTTGTTTTTTTTTTGTGTTCTATTTTATGTAAATTGTATGGCTGGGCACTTGGCAGCAGTCATGGTCCACTTAAAACATATTTAACACAAGTTCTTGACACAGTTCAGGTTTCAGTTGTTGTTTTTGTTTCCAAAAATATAAATTATTTCTCTCCAAAGGGCTTCCCCCAGCGGTGTGGCACACATAAATATCTATTTTATTTCCCGATGGGAGTAGGTGGTGCAGGAGGAGGAGGAAAACTAAATATGTTGCAGTTGTGATTGGGGGTGGGGGGCAAAGAATTCGTGTTATGCAGGTCTTTAAATATTTTTGATGCGATAATGAAAGATGACATTAACGACATGCCGGTGATACAATAATAACATACCAGAATAGGGCAATCAGGCCATGAGAGAGTCAGTTGGCCGGCTAAAGAAAATCAAATGAACAGCGACACACACCATGGAGTCTCTTCCCATACCTTAACATGCCCAGCGATTATGTTGACAACTTGGGGTCGAGCAGCAGAATAAACAAAAGAACTCTTCACATCGTTCGGTTGGTTCACCCGTCCATCTGTCTGTCCGCCTTAACAGCATTCATTTCACATTTTATGCAAATCAATTCAATGTTAAGAGCTAAAAACCTCGACAAACAAAAAGATGCCCAACCATTTAGCTGATCAGTGGAAGACTGCAAACAAAGCCTACGAAAGGGCTGGTTGGATGTGGGCATAAGAGGTTGTAGGATGTTCCCTACAAGCCTAAAATAGGCTAGCTTCATATTTATGAAGAATTTGCATGGTATTCTCTTGATGGCAGGCATTTCAGGGGTCTAGCTGAGGAAAATAAGTTTCTTACGGGCATTTTACAGTTAAAACATCTTTTATGGGAATATATGGGAATAGATTTCTACAGATCTTCCAAAGACCTTCAAGAGACTTCTTCTTATTGGAGAGCTTCAATAGGCCTCGCTTGACGAGGAAAATTTATAAAAGTCTTATTTAGATTGAAGACCTTCCACAGATCTACCACATAGACAACATCATTTATCGGAATTCTTCTTATATGCAACTAGCAAGTGTCCGCAACTATGTCAACGAGAAGGTCGGCCTTAAAATTTTAGATACGCTCGTGTACAGTTTACGTTTTAGTACAGTTCGTGTTAGGCCTTTTAAATACTGAAAATGCACAATTTGTTCAGTTCGAAAAAATTTCTTAATCAAAACTTCATAAATTTTCAGTTTTTCAAAATTTTATAAATTATTCAATTTTTCCATTTTTTTGGAAATATATTCGGGAAATGTTTACCCTTTACAACAAAATCTTCCAATTTGAATTTTACCGAGGCACACTGGTCCCACATCGAATTAGTCTGTCTAAAACAGTTTCAACGTTCCGTATGTAAACCATAGAAATCAACAGTGACCTCAATATAAAATTCTGGATGTTCCAGCTCTATACCTTTTTCCAATACCCAATTTAATAGCACTTAGTACTTTTCGTATAATTATTGTACAGAATTCTGAAACCACTTCCATATCTCAATTTCATAGAGACTTCAAAATCAAATTTGTGAATTCTATCCCTTTCCTTTCACCCAATACCAAATTTAGTACCATTTAGTATTTTCGTATATATTACATTTGAGGATTCCAATTCTATCTCTTCACCCGATACCAAACTTAGTACTTTTCGTACAATTATATTAAACATTTCCAAAACCACTTCGTATTTCAACTCCAGATACCAACAGAGACCTCTATGTAAAATTGAAGGATTCCAGTCTTGCCCCTTACCCAATACCAAATTTAGTACCACTTAGTACTTTTCGTATAAATATCAGACACATTTCCAAAACCACCACCAAATCTCAACATCAGATACCAAAATGTATCTAAATATCAAATTTCAGGATTTTATCTCTACCCCTTCACCCAATTACATATTTAGTACTATTTGGTACTTTTCGTACAATTTCCAAAACCACCTCTATATCTCGACTCCAGATACCAACAGATATAGAACACATTTTCAAAACCACCGCCAAATCTCTATTCCAGATACAAACAGAGACCTCTTGACCAAATATGAGGATTCCAGTCCTATCCCTTCACTCAATATCAAATTTAGTACCATTTAGTACTTTTCGTAAAAATATATAGGACGCATTTTCAAAACCGCCGCTAATTCTCAACCTTAGATACCAAAATTTATTTATTATATTCACCCAATAGCAAAATTTAGTACTATTTGGTACTTTTCGTACTATTTCCAAAACAACCTTCATATCTCAGTTCCTGATACCAACAGGCCCCTTAATATTAAATTTGAGAATTCCAGCCCTATCCCTTCATTCAATACCAAATTTAGTACCATTTAGTACTTTTTGTACAAATATGGAACACATTTTCAAAACCACCGCCAAATCACAACCTCAGATACCAATTGTCGTACAATTGTAGTACACTATACCCCTTAACCCAATAGCAAAATTTAGTACTATTTGGTACTTTTCGTACTATTTCCAAAAAAACCTTCATATCTCAGTTCCTGATACCAACAGGCCCCTTAATATTAAATTTGAGAATTCCAGCCCTATCCCTTCATTCAATACCAAATTTAGTACCATTTAGTACTTTTTGTACAGATATGGAACACATTTTCAAAACCACCGCCAAATCACAACCTCAGATACCTCAGATACCAATTGTCGTAAAATTGTAGTACACTCTACCCCTTAACCCAATAGCAAATTCAGTACTATTTTGTACTTTTCCTACAAATATAACACACATTTCCAAAACCATCTTCATATCTCAATTCCAAATACCAACAGAGACCTCATTATCAAATTTGAGAATTCGAACTCTATTCCTTCACTCAATAACAAATTTAGTACCATTTAGTACTTTTTCTACAATTATGGTACACATTTCCAAAACCACCTTGATAGCTCAAATCCAGATACAAAAAGAGACCTCTATATTTAAATTTGGATCACCCAACACCAAATTTAGTACCATTTAGTACCTTTCGTATGATTGCTGAGCGCATTTCCTAACCAAACTCTTTATCTTAACCCTAACCACCAGCAGAAGACCAAGTACCAAAATTTTTAATTCCCAAATCAATCCGTTCAACCAAAACCAAATTGTACCTAATACCCATTTACAAAAGCACCTAATACCCATTTACAAAAGCACCTAACTGTATAAAACCACATTTTTATACCAAATGTCAATATATTAGCTGTATCTGTTTACAAAAGGTACGAAATTTTGTGCTTTTTAGTACTTTTAGTACACTTCTAGTCCGAATTTCCAAATCCAGCCTTAGCCCAGCCCCACCAAATGCAAAATTTCAAGATTCTAGCTTAGGCTTTGATGAATATGTCAGTCAGTCAATTTTTTAGTATTATATATATATATATATATATATATATATATATATATATATATATATATATATATATATATATATATATATATATATATATATATAAGAAGAAGATAGGTCTTCTATGGAGAAAAGGCCTCCTGTGGAAATAAAAGCCTCTACGGATCTGCTATGGATAGACTATTTGTATTGTAGAATATAGCTCTGCTACAAACGTGATATCAATAAATATGTGTCTTATATATACTTAAGGTCTATAACAGGATAATTATTTGCAGAAATCCTACAAGCGATCTCGTTTTTATACCCTGTCAATAATTCTGTACCAAACATTTGAAATAAATATGAACCCTACTGTAGGGTGTAGAAAACAACAAGTGCCAACAAAACGCACCTTGTTGCAGTATTTTGTGAAACATTCTGTTCCCATTGTCTTCGACAACGTCTGTCTGTCGGATTGGAGTGCCGCTGCTGATAATGCTCCAGCAATATCTTGTATCGGCTTGGTGTCATGCCATAATAAAAACGGGAGATATCCATAACATTCCCGGCACCAAAATAAAGGCCATAACGTTGATGATGGGGCCAGCCAAGAAAGAACACCTACAACTATCAACGCCATCTCAAGCGCTTACTTAAAGTGGTGCAAGCCAACTCTGGTGTTTTGGTAGATGCTTCGATTCCACCAAGCCGAAGCCGAATCCCATGCCCAAGCCCATGTCATATCAATTTCATTCACATTTTTATTATGCGTAAATATTTGAAGAGCTTGCTCAATGGCCGGCAATCCGGGCCAACTAAGTGAATGGACATGATTGTGAACAAAAGATGGAGATGAAATGGAAATTGAAAAAAGGAAAAGAAGAAGTGATATACGAGTAAAGTGTTAATTTAAATCGATTTTTTATTTATTTTCAAAAGAAAATGAAATGAAATGCACTTGATATTCAAACTAGAGGCACACGCT